GAGAGTGAGAGTTGAATAAGACTAAAGAGAAAAAGATAAATAGAAGGTAAATAGGGAAAAAGAATAAAAGGATAGGAAAAAAAATCTTAACCACCTGTTCAAAAATTAAAATAACCTAAATTAATGTCATAAAACTCTTTCACCGGTGAAAGACATTCTTTGGACTCCACCCTGCTATATTCACCAAATGTAGTTTCTCATTCTTTAGAATGATAACTAATTTTTTTTTCCATAAACATAATCTATATAGTATTTTAAAACTAATAATTAAAAATTAATTTATATTTATAAAATATAATTTTTATTGATTAAAAATTATTTTACACAAACATATATAGATACAATTTATACAATATTTCACAATTAAAAATTAATTTATATTTATAAAATACAATTATAATTGATTAAATATTATTTTAGTACAAACAGGTTGAATCTTCACATTTTCTATCATGTGCTCATTTAATTATTAGTGAAATTTGATAATTAACAATATTGCAATAGTTATATGGGGTCTTTGCTTAACATAGATATAATTTATATAATAATTCAAAATTAACAATTAAAAATTAATTTATATTTATAAAATATAATTATAATTGATTAAACATTATTTTATATAATATTTCAAAATTGAACATTAAAAATCAATTTATATTTATAAAATATAATTATAATTGATTAAACTTATTTTAGTACAAACATGAATCTCCATATATATTTTCTATCATGTGCTCATTTAACTATTAGTGAAATTTGATAATTAATAGTATTGGGTCTTTGTTTGATTTGAGGTTTCCATTATCATTCATATTCCGAATTGAGATCATGTCAAGAGTAGGTATGCAAAAAATTCAAATTGATCCGAACCAATCCATAACCGATCCAATCTATATTAAAAAAACTGATCTATTTTGAAAAAAAAATTCGAACCGATCCACTTTATAAAACTAGAAAGTGAATTGGTTCGGTTTAGTTTGATTTTTTTTAAAATTCGATTCATATATGAGTAAAAATAGATAACTGCAACGCACCGATTCAATTTCAAAAATACCAATCCATATTTTAAAAAAATCAAAAATTTCAGTTTAAATTTTTAAATAAATCGATTCATGAACACCCCTAGTCGAACCTGAAAAATCATATTTATGTTTTGGTAACTCCCTGACCATATGTTCTTGTATCAATTAATTATATTAAACTAAATTATTATCATACAGTAACTCTTCCATAGTGTAGCTCCCTTTTGATGTTCCAAATGTTGAAACCTTGAGGAAGAAATTTCTCATTTGTGGTTGAGAAATGTAAGGCATTTAGAACATTTCTCAATAGCCACTACATATATTGGAATAAGGACGCATTTCCTGGTGAGAAGTATGTCTCTATCTAGGGACGAGGATATATGTTAGAGGTTTGTTCAGAATCAACTGGATCCTAACTTTCAAGTTAGTTGAAGATATTATTATTTAAATTGTTATTACCATATAATTAGGCCAAAGTAGGTTAAACTAGTTTTATGCCTATTCCAACACGTAGTGGCTACTCTCCTGTACATTATCAGCTCTTACCAACTGTTTGTTGCGACTTATTGCGGGGTACAACTTTTCAGCTTTTTATCTATTTTCTGAATTATTAATTCACCCTTCCAGTCATTCTTGGACACCACTACGAGGTTCTCAACCAAACCATGAAATTACATTACATTATTAGCTTTCGGTTAATGGAAACCAACTAAATCAAATTCAAGAGACAAATTATATTGCTCCACTTAAACCTAACCGCCCATGATTTTGAATATACTATAATTGAGTTCCAATGCTTTGTCATTATCAAAACATGTATAATGAGGCACTTAAACCAACCGAACACTATTGGAAAAGCATCCAAAAAAGAAAGGGATTACGAATCAAATGAAATTATTTGGAACCCAAAATTTCAACCTGTGTGGCAGATATATACAAGCTATAACTAAGTATATTCTACAATTATTGCACAAAAACGCAACATCATCGATTAGGAACTCATCATGTTAATTGACTTGTTTAATATTGTTCTAGAAAGGTGCAGATGCTATGTCCCTGAATGCTGCTGCTGGTGCTGCTTGTGTTGTTGCATCTTTGGAGTTCAACAGTTCCTCTTCTTCATCCAAATCCATCTCCATTGTTGTGCAGCAAGCAGCACTAACCACTGGCTGCAATCCCTGCCAAGATAATTAATTGCCAAAATCCTTAAATATTATCCCAATATTAATAGTTAATGAATTATTAAATAAAATACGATTCGATGTATTAAAATTTAAAATGAAAATACACTATAATTAAATCCAAATTTTCAATACACAATTTTGTGATTTTTCTACTTTATTTACGAGAATGAAAGTGTAAATGCATTAAAACTCACAATAAAACTGTATTAATAACATTTTATATATTTTTTTTTTAATTTCTTGACCAACTTCTGTAAAGAGATTTGTTAACATTTTTTTTTTCATGTAAACCCAAAATACACGACGGTTGTTTGCATGACCAAGAGCCGGAAATCTCCATGCAACCAAAATCATACATAAAGCATTTAAATTACCGGGGGGAAAAAATGTTTCATACAGAGCAACAAGATCATAAAGCGTTCATCTTTAGTATAATCATCGTGCATGCATGTCTTCCAATCAAATATATAGTCCAGATTAAAGTACCTAATTAATTATCGTTCCCATCATATATATATATACTATATTACATAAGAAGAAGAAAAAAAAGTTATTGGAAGAAGAAGTATATCTACCTCGGTGAAAATTCTGGAAGATTCTTCTAAAGTCCTGGTGTTCAATATATATATTGCTAACTCCTGTAAATTAAATCCAGCAAGGCATATTAATGAATTAGATTTATGTATAGCATGAAACACAATGATGGAAGATAGTAAAAAAGAAAAAAAGAGAAACTAACCCTAGCGGATTGAATTTGGCTGATAGTAAGAGTCCTGGGCTCCCTTTCAATGGAGGAAGTCCTTTGAAGGGATAACATGGGTGCCTCCATATTGTGTCGTTTTCCGTGAACATAAAAAGTTTGTGAGCAACGTTGTTGATGTTATTATGGTATAGAAACAAGAATGGTTATGGAATGGGTCCGTTATATAGATGGGGAACAAGCATGGACTATTGTGATTTGTGACGGCACGCAATGAAAGGAAAATGGGGTGCACGTGGCAGGGTGGATCCGTGGGTGATGATACAGATGGCACTCCAAGACGACGTTGTACAAATAGAGAAATATGGAATCCCCTGGCTGCTGGCTGCTGCAAACGTGTTTCCTATGGTTTCTGAAAGCGGAAATGAGAACGTACTTACGTGTTGCTACAATCGCTGGACCGACACCGCCATGGGCTTGGGCCACGTCCATATAAAACGTGTACGCATGTCATGGTGCCTATCGCTGTTGATAGGGATGGAAGATTTTGTTGGACCCCGAATCAGGCCCAGAATGCACGTCACTCAGACTCATTCCATTTTTATTTCCTTCCTTCATCCATAATAATATTCTATTTTTATCGCCTCAGTAGTCAATTATTCTGTCTCGTCTCACGTCACTTTCTCATCCCTCTCAAAGTTTCTCACTCATTCTTCCATCCGTATCATGTTACCTCTATTCAAAGGCTATTCACCACTTCTAAATGCTAATATTCATCAACTAAACCTACCTAACTTAAATATTGGACTTTAAACCATTCACATGTTTTGTATATTATAAGAAATACAAATTCATAACTAAGGAACATGTGTGACACTACTGCATATATTTACCAGTCAGTATATTATGTTTCAACTTCAATAATGAGTTTCACACTCTTTCCTTT